TTTCCCTTTCAGGGAAATCAGCCAAGAATGAATTATATAATTTAGTGATACTTTTTCCATATACCCCAAAAAAATTTCGTACGTAAAACGGAAAGAGTGCAATAATTATTTTTCACTCGTTCAGATTAGACAGTATAGTTGTTATCTTGAACATAAATTAGCGTGAATAAACAAAAATCTTTTTTTATGTGAATGAGAAAGACAGAGAAAAAGGAAAGCCGGAAGATTGACCTAATATCGGCTTTCGGTTTGCTACCAATAGCACTGGGGGTGGGAAATAGGGGTAAGAAAGAGGGTGTAGAGAGAGAGAGAGAGAAAAAAAACGCACGTTCCCTCGGGAGAAGGGAAAACGCACACAGGAAGGGCCTTCTGGCTACAACCGTTCAGAAGGGCCAGTCGACCGTAAAAAGCGCAGTAACGCTTGCAGGGCCTTCTTCTGTGACGTTGCATCCTGTCGATATTGTAAAATTCTTTCCTCCGACAGAGGTTGATGATCTAATTCGCCGATTTCCTTGCGAAGACATAGTTGTTATCCACTATACTCAAGGCAGTCGCACAGGATACGCCGGATGGTTTCTCCGTTGCCACAGTGGTCACAGGCTGCGGTGTCGGCCATCCTTTATATGTTAATTTCAGAATAATGCTCACGCAAGTGTAGGAACCTAATTCCTAAAGTTTCATGAAGGCAAGTACAAACGGCATCAAGCGCGTCAATGGGGCTAAAGCCCAGATCCGAAGCACGGAAGGAAAGTATGTTCTCAATTGTGAAGTTCAGCCTCCAGGTTAGCGAATCGGATAACAAAAAGTAGTTTTATTAGTAATCTGTGTCAGCGACACGGCATGAAATAGTGCTCCACTGTTTCTGGTTCTGAACAAAGGTTGCATAAAGGTGATATCGCCAGACCAGCACTGTGCGAATAGAAATTAAACGGGGGGACACGACATCCTAATCTGGTTATTACGACTTCAAATGTTACATTCTTCTTCGTGTCTACCTCCCACTAAGTAACAAGAAAGGCTTAGATAAAGCTCAAGCCTTGTATTTAAGAGTGCAACGCGATAACTCTATCAGGCTGTAGTGGGTATCATCCATTGATGGGAAAAGAAGAAGAAAACACGCTCCAGGAACGAACGGAAGCAGCAAACCATTCCAAGGAACCAAAGTTTGGAAGCTCTCTCAGAAACGGTCCTGCCTAGGTAGGCCCCTTCAATTCGCACATCTTCCTCACTACACTGCTACATAAAGAAGTTTGCTTGCGTTTGCTGCAATGTCGGCGGAAGATGAAAAAGTACCCGTCGGACACCGTGCCATTCTGGGCACTGTCAGATTCCACCATATATACAGTCATATTTCCGAATGGTGGTATTTCTACGCCAGTAAGAGAGGCCGCACTATCGTTCAGGGTCAGTCAGAGTTGACCAATCGTGGAATGCGACAATAACCAGAGTACCAAAGGAGTCGCCCTAATGATTGTAGTCAGGCGAAAGCAGTTATTTGCTTATGTTGACGCTTTTGACACAGCTGATGTGTAGGATGGTATTTTTAACCCCCGTACGCGCTATAGTACCGCCGTGATATCTAGCGACACAGTGAAGCATGACTTGAAATATAAAAGGGGCGGCACCCCAAAGCAAGCTAAGACATACTAGATAGATGACAGCCTTTGTGTGACGAGTGTACTAACAACAGCGTCGAGCTCTTCTAGGAATGTAGCTTTTGCTGCATGATGAAGACATGAAACGCCTTCGAACGTACTTTCTGCGTCCGAGTGTGACCTGTGCTGTCTGTTCTGGGACACTGTGCAGTCGAACCTGGATGTATCGAATCTGAAGGGGATCACAACAGTGTTTTATACATGGGTAACTCCATATAAAAATATAATATATGGCGAAAATATATTCATAATAATTTTTACAAATTTTAATTATACATAGTATTTTCTGCTATGTGTCTTCGACTGTGTGCTGAGAATAATGACCTTACCGGTTGCATTATCTTACAGGCACCTGTCTCGCTGGCTTTCAAGACTGCGGGAGATATGGGCGCAGCGAGAAGCGTGGTGTCCTGCGTGCTTGGCGTGGTCCAGCTGCTGACCGCGTGCGTCAGCGCAGAGCCGGCCGTCGGCGATGTCATAGCGTCCGGCACCGCGGTCGCTGATCGACAGAACCGAAACGTCAACGAGTCTACGCTTCTTCAGGGGCATGCGGCACATGTTCACTCGGAACAGACCACACTACCTCGTTCCGAATACTGCTCCGTGAACTTCGAAAAAGACAGTAAGTTTGAGCACGTCGGTCGACTACTACGCGTGAATGGTTTATGCCACTGTCAGAAGTGTGCACATGGAAGGGGGGGGTGCAGGGGGACGCCCCCCATAATGATCTGAAGGAGGGCGCCAGTTCTGCTCCACACATTTACTAAGTCGGGCACTCCCGTCCTTTTTTTTTATTTTACTGCACATGGCTACGGCCGCACGCATGCACACAAGGGGGAAGCGGTGCGTATGCCCCCCACCTAATCCCCAGAGGGGGGGGGGGAGGCACAAAGTCGGCCTCATACGCTTACTCCGTTATGGCAACGCAGCTGGTTTTCTTCGACAATGCTGGTCAAAGTCTGTACGTGCGGTATTTCGAGAAGAGTTTACACTTCCCGCGTTTACTTTAACAATGCCAAGGTTGCATTGCAAGAACCACATCATTTATTATTATTTTTTTCATTTTTTCATCCAGTTTCTTTCGATTGTGAAGCATGTTGACCTTCGGGGTCGACCAGCCAGGGATCACGTGTTGCCCCCATACACCTCTCCCTCGTTTGATGGGTGAACCCTGCGCACACCTATGGCTATGGCTACACATGTTTGTTGACGAGGACCTCTGATGAACCCCTGACGAGGACCCCTGATGTTGCATTCAAAGTTCTTACTCTCCACCTTTAGTCCGCATTGCCGAGGACTAATGGCAGGCCTTCGTGAAGAGAGCGTCATTGCTTTATTTTCGTGTTGGCCCCTACTGTGCGGAGCTTTTCTTTTTTTTTTCGGATTCCAATAACGCAGCGTGTAACCTCCCCCCCTCCCCACACACACATGGGGAATCCTTCGCACGCATGTCGACAGTGCAGTTTTGGCAAAGAAAACGTTACAGTAGCACCAACGTTACAGGTTCATCACGTAGTGAACCACAAGTCAAGCAAAAAAAAAATGGCAGCATATCCACGGAGTGAATGATGGATAGTGGGGCGAAGCATCCGTCCGTCCATTCGTTCTTGCTTCCGTCCATCCTTGCGTGCGTCTCTGTGGCCGCCCGTGCGTCCATCCGCCCGTCCGTGCGTCCGCACGTTCATCTGTGCGTCCGTCCCTGCTTTCGTCCATGCATCCGCTCCTGCATCCGTCCATGCACTCAGTCCGCCCCTGCGTCCGTTCATGCGTCCATTCATGCATCTGTCTGTGTGTCCGTTCGTCCATCTCTTCAACACTCCAAGTACCACCATCTCGCGTCTTTTCATCATATATTCCTCCTATAGAAGCACCGCCATCCAGCGGACATTCCAAGGACTGAACGAGAGGAGGCACACGCACACTTTCTTACGGCTTGCGCTTTGTGTCTACTTCCCACCTTTAACCACCTCGAGTTCATGGTATATACTATAGTTCACTGTATTCGTGGCACTGCGGCCCAACGCTCGCTAAACCTTTCTAAAACCTAGGAGGTTACGCCCAGCGAGTATAACGTAGCAACCCTTTCTTGTCTTCTGTGCGTTGATGAACAATAAAAAATTCGCAGCGTGCGCGTTAACTAAAAGCCGAATTCCCCTGTCTCTCATTCCCCCTTAGCAGCCATTGGCATGTACATTGAGCACTATCTTTTATTGTTCAACAACGCACAGAAGAAATATCTCGCCGGCACCACCTTGCAGGTCAAAATGTTATACTTGTTACACACTACTACAACGGCTACGAGGGACGAATGGGTGCCGCTATAAGGAGCTTCGCCCCTAAAAGGAGCAGTGTCCTCTTTCCGCTTGCACTTGAAGATCACACGTTCGTTTGCAGATGTCGATGCTGTACACACAGGGCAAATGGAAAGAAACTCGAACTGCGCGGCAAGCTGTTATCATCGCACTCTGACTTTGGTGGCACTAAAAATATGCTATGTTCGGATACAACCTGAGAAATCTGCGGCATTTCTTCCTGAAAGGCGGATGTACACAAGCCTGCACCAATGGGGGCGCACACCAGAATGAGGTCATGAACCGAACGGCCGGTGACCCAGCCTATGGAGAGCACTGGCCAATACACGAAAGGAACTATTTCTTTAGTCGCGAAGGCTGTCGGCTTTTTATCGCCATCCAGGCAACAACAGCTTGAAAATAAGTCCTGAACAGCAGAAAATAAGGATGACGCATGTTTGCGTTTGTTTTTACCCCCTTTGTAGATATAGTAAATGGATTGGCCGCATACAGAAAAAGGAACAGGTAAACGATTCTTACCTTAAGCAATGCCAGAGCTGGTCAGTTGCTATATTGTTACCACGAGTGCTCACAGTATAACAATAATAATAGTCGCATGTAGACGGTTCGAGGAGTTTCGGCCATTTGAGGTTTTTGAACTTGCACCTAAATCTCTAGAATTTCTAGAATCTCTAGAACACGGGCCTTTAGAATTTCGCCTCAATAGAAATTCGGCCGCCACAGCTGTTATTCGATCCCGCGACCTTAGAGAACACACGATAGCACCGTGAAACTACCACGGCGAAGCCACAGTCATTGAATGAACCGTGTTCATGCGCTTCGCTGTGAGCGTGGCACACAGCTCATTCAGCAAGCAAATTTAAAAAAAAAGAATACTACTTGTTACTGAACAACTGTGTCACCCACAGCGGGCGACATGGTGAAGATTCGGAGGTTGGGCCCACCACTCTCGGTCTTGGAGAAAGCGATGCCGCACGTGATGCCCGGCGGTCGCTGGTTCCCGACCGGGTGCACGGCTCGGCATCGAGTGGCCATAGTGGTGCCCTACCGGGACCGGCTGAGCAACCTGCAAGCCTTCCTGCAACACATGCACCCGTTTCTCCAGAGCCAGCAGCTCGATTACGCCATATACCTCGTTGAGCAGGTGTGGACACCTTCTCTAGGAAAAGCACCACATGAGCGGTCACTGTATTGGCCTTCTGCATAAGAATGTTACGCCTCAAACTGTTCGAAACTTACGGATTGATGTGCAGAGTGATTACGAGAGTTCAGTGAGCGGGCCTGTTGGAACAAAAAAAATTTAGGCAGCTTCACTGTGTTAACACCATAAAAGCTGGCAAAATAGCGGAGATGGTGGTATCATATTGGCAGGCGTGAACGGCATAGGTACAAACAGGACCACGCACATTTTCCTGGTGCGCTCACAACCAAATGTTTTCACATATTTTTTTCTGTGTTATCTTTTCTATTTCTATTGGTTTCTCTTTTATTCTTTATTTTTCTTCCCTCAGCACATGTACTTTTGCCCGCAGACCTGCTTAATTTTTTTAGTAGACCAGCGGCAAATATTGTGGCGTGTCCCACTTCTGTGACGCATAACCACTTTGAAACTGCGAATGCTCCATAGAAGATAACCCTGAACAACCTTGGAAATTCCCTGAACAACTTGTTGGTATGGATGCAAAGCAGCGCGAAAAGCTAGGACGTGGAAAGAAGCGAGACATATACACAGCAGTAAAACTGCGATAATAGGCTATGGAATGTGCAAGGATATTTGCGCTATCATGAGTATTTGGTGCGTTATAACCTAAAAACAAAAATGGCGTTGTTTGAATGGGTTGAATTTTAATTGAATTGTTATAACATATGCACAACCACGTAGCACCCATTTTGTTATGCTGTGAATGCTGATAACTATGGGGCTATATCCGATCGCAGGAAAAAAAAACAATCCCCCTACCCCCTCCCCACTTTGTCGATATACTGTGGCTGTGTCCCTTTCCTCTTCCCTCGGCCAACGCCTACGGTCCCACTGTTATAAGACCGTTATACTTGTGACCCAAGCCGGGGTACTTTAGTTTACTTCTTTAGATGCAAAGCAGCTTAGAGTAGAGCTCAATTCGGTGTTCGGCGTGACCACCCTTACTGCGCATGCGCGTCCGCTCCCTTTCTCTCTCCACTCCTATTCTACCTCTTCTCTCGCCTTGCAATGACGACGAAGGGAGCGTCTGCTAACCTATACTCTCGCTCCTTCTCTCTCACCTAGGCATTCCTCCCCGCGGCGTTTACATCCACATTGCGCATGCGCGTCCCCTCTACATCCCTCTCCTCTCCTACGTTTCCCCTCTCTCACCTTGCAACGCCGATGCAGGCAGCGTCTTCTAGCGAGCTTCATTGAAAAAAATCACAGCATATCCACGGAGTGAGTGACGATGAGTGGGGCGAAGCGTCCGTCTGTTCGGCCGTCCGTCCGTCAACAATACGAAATCGTGCGTCCATCGATCCATCAACACGAAATCGTCTATCTGCCTGTCCATTTATTAACTATACAAAAACTACTAAAGTCACCTAGTGATATTATTTTTAAGGACATATACACATAACGCCATCTATTCAGCAACTGATAAACTAGAGGTGGCTACATACTACTACTACTACTACTACTACTACTACTACTACTACTACTACTACTACTACTACTACTACTACTACTACTACTACTACAGAAGAAGGAACAACCCGCACCCTAAGCAGCGGCACTCCTAATACCGGCAGTTCACGTTGCGCAACTGTTCACTGGTGTATACAGGGTGTCCCTCGTAACTTGAGCCAGACTTCGAAAATATGCCGGAACACTCAATTACGACACGAGCAATTGTATGTTGCTCACCGTTGCCTGGAGTTAGTCAGGCTATTTTTTGTGTTCTTAAACATTCTTTAATTATTGATCGATATGTATGGTTTAACGTCCCAAAACCACCATATGATTATGAGAGACGCCGTAGTGGAGGGCTCCGGAAATTTCGACCACCTGGTGTTCTTTAACATGCACCCAAATCTGAACACACGGGCCTACAACATTTCCGCCTCTATCGGAAATGCAGCCGCCGCAGCCGGGATTTGAGCCCGCGACCCGCGGGTCAGCAGCCGAGTACCTTAGCCACTAGACCACCGCAGCGAAGCCATTCTTTGATTAGATATGTTTAATAACTAACATTCCAAGAAACGAAGATAGATAAAAAATTGCCATGAGAAAGTTGTTGATCGGTTTGAAAAACGTACGATTAGACAGTTTTGAACTTTATATCTGTTAGATATTAGTGTTTTTTCTGCTAATTACAAATGCCCGTGATATACAAAAAAATACCACGTGACAAACCCGCTCGTGCGCCAGTGCGCGCAATGATTCTAGTGCTCCCTAATGTTCCTGTACGAACGAACATAGCATTTGCCCCATTGTGCTGTCTCGGCAGGGCCGCAACGATGGTGGTGGCTTTACGATGAACACGTTTTGCTATCGGCCACAAAAACGATAACCGGTGTGACTGCTTATTGCTGTCATAAACCGGGGCGAGGGAAGCGTGTCGTTCGTACGCGGAACATTAGGGAACACTAGAATCATCGTGCGCGTTGACGCGCAAGCGGGTTTGTCACGTGGTATTTTTTTGTATTTCGCGGGCATTTGCAATTAGTGGAAAAACACTGGTACCTAACAGATATAAAGTTCAATACTGTCTAATTGGACGTTTTGCAAACCGATATACAACTTTCTCATTGAAATTTTTTATCTATCTTCGTTTCTCGAAAAGTTAGTTTAAAAACATATCTAATTCAACAATATTTGAGAATACAAAAAAAATAGTCTGAATAACTCCAAGCAACAGTGAGTAACATGCATTTGGTCGCGTCGTAATTACGTGTTCCGGCATATTTTTAAACTCTGGGTCAAGTTACGTGGGACACCCTGTATAGGTACTGGATCTTGACTTCCAAGGTAGTTCTGGTGGGAGATTTTTCCTGTGGCATTGTTGAACAATAAAAAAAAAACATGCTTGATCCCTCCATCATGTACAGCAATCGGTAAAACACAAACGTAAAACGTGTCCTTAGAGAAGTAGTTTATTGCTTACTGTACATTTATACAGGGTGTCCCACATAACTTGAGCCAAGAATTTGATAGTGAAAGGCACTTAGGAAGCGAATTGAACCAAACGGATACTACTCGCACTAACCCGTAAGTACTCAGGCTATTTTTTATTTCTCCCCATACTAATTAATACTTCATAATTACCTATTTTAATTATGGTCTGAAAACCCAAAATATGAACACTGAGATGTAGAGCACTTTCAGAAACCACCGACTAAATTGTTTCCTGTACGATACGTCTCACACTGTTATTTTTTCCACGTTGTAAACAAATCCCGCGAAACGTGAAAATAAGCCATGTGACGGACCGCGAGCGCACTGCTATAGTGGTGTTATAGGCTTTCTTTACAACGCGGAAAAAATAACAGCGCTAGACTTATCGTACAGGAAACAATTTTGTCGGTGGTTTCTGAACGTGCTCTACATCTCAGTGTTCATATTTTGGATTTCGAACCCATACTTAAAAATGGGTAAGTAAAATTTTAAATTAATTAGTAAGGGGAGAAATAAAAAATAGTCTGGGTACCTACAGGCTAGTGGGAGTAGAACGCGTTTAATCCAATTCGCTACTGAAGTGCCTTTCATTTGCGAATTCTTTGCTCAAGTTATGTGGGACACCCTGTATTGGAGAGCTTGCTAGATCTATTGGAGTGTGATAGCTATAACATCGCTCAACGTGGGTGAATCCACGTTAACGCTCAGTCACACATCTCCATCCTGACGACTAACATCCATCATTAATGATTGAAAGAATAACCCTTGTCGCCATAGGTGAGTGCGGAACCAGAGAAGCGATGTGACAGGCCGAAGAACGCTACTGATTGGACGCCGAACTTGGGCTGAGGTCGCTAACTAACGTTGGAGTTATTGAACGTCACGGCCCTGTCATCGTGCGTATTTTTTCAACGTCACTTTCATGACGGAAACACGTCATTGAAGTCTTGGTGCCTCGCACTTTCATGTTAAAATTCGCAGCGTGCGCGTTAACTAAAAGCGGACTGTGCGCCTGTGTCTAATCAGAGTCATCTGTCTCTCGTCACCCATTAACAGCAATTGGCATGTTCTAGTAAGAATAATCTATCCATCCCTGCGTAGTTTGCGCCTCCCCAAGTAACGTCGTCGCCAGTGTAAGCGTTAGCGAGCGCTACTTCGCATCTACACATGGTTCCCCTTAGTGAGAGATGGTGTGATCTTCTTTCTTTTCGCCACGCATAAGTGTATGCATGTTGTCAGTACAAGACGTCGCGCAGGCTTATAATAATAAGCTTCGGAGTGGGTATACTGCGGTACGCTAACAATACGCAGTTTAATGTTTCGACGCCGTTTCCACCCAATACTCCCGTATTGTGTCCTGTATAGTGCCATGTTTCCAGGCGTCCCGCTCTGTTTCCGGATAATAGTGTGACAGCACGCCAATCGCTGCTCTACGCGTTAGTGTTCACTGAAACGTGGCGCACTATTTCATGCAGAACGGCACGGGAGACTTCAATCGCGCGAAGCTGCTCAACGTGGGCTACGACATTGCCAAGGCAATGGACGACCACAACTGCTTCATCTTCCACGACGTAGATTTGCTGCCGGAGAACAGGCGCAACGAGTACGCTTGCAAGGACGAAGGGCCGTTCCACATGTCCGCTTGCACCGACATCATGAAATACAAGTGAGCTACGCACCTTGTCAGGGAAGGCACTTTGGGCGCCGCCATAGTCCTCTATAGGCTACCGTTTTTAGAACTAGTTCTAAAACGTTTTAGAAAAGTTCTAGAAACCCCCCCAAAAGTGCACTGCCGAGGCTGTGACGTCGGTTTTTGTACTCCCGGTCAACAGCCTCTGGAGAGGAGGAAATCTCTATTTCTGTTGAAAAGGCTATATTGACGACTCAAGGTCGATGCTAAGTATTTTATGAGAGAGGGCTGCTGCTCATTGTGTATACCCTTGACCGCATGCAGGCCGTTCTACGAGACAATCTTTGGAGGAGCGAGTGCCGTGCGCAGCGACCACATGGAGAAGGTCAACGGCTTCTCAAACGTGTTCTGGGGATGGGGCGGCGAAGACGACGACATGTCCATCAGGTACTTTAAGGAAGATCGAACGCCGCCATGACAGTGTGACGAGTACGACGTGTGCCCGATGGGAGTCTAGGCGCCATCCAGCGTGAATCAATAATTTAAGGAAGAAGTCTTAAATAGGCGGCAGCGGCTTCTCCAGGAATTAGGTTTTTCGACGTACGTTGCTGAATAGTATTCACATAATTTTCCTCGCCAATCGCGATTAATAACGCTTTTGTCAGGAAAGTTAGACAGATGGCACTGGTGGCATTGGTGACAAGCATTTTTTTCCCCCTGAGATGCGGTCACTATGTGTTAATACCTTAACGTGAAACAAGAACTGTACAACAGAATTTTAGTGGTTCTACAGATCGGTATCGAATTATTTCGCTAAACCTACATAAATATCTCCCATGGATGACATATGGCAAAGGCATTCTTTAAAATGGCAATGGTAGCTGACATTTTGCTCTATGAAGGTACAGAATGGCTCTATTACCACCGCATGCGTCGCCTTGTCTGGTTTGCCGCACAGTCTTGTGGAGTTTCGTGCACAATCTTGAGGAGTCATTTGAGCAGAGTGAGTATTTTCGCCGCGTTATCCGTTTTGCGAGACCTTAGAAGAACCGTGGTAAGCAAATGGGGCTTGTTCAATTTCTTATTGAGAACCAACAGATAATGAAGTCAATGAAGGTATGGGGGACGCCAATCGTGCTAGCGGTCTTAACTGTATTGTAGCAATTACTACAAAAAAATGTGAAGGAAATAAAGTGGACGCGTCTGCAGGTTAGGTCCTTGCCGGCGGCAAGCTTTTTCCCATGCTTAACTAGGCAATTTCTTATACCATATTTACTAAAATGCAAACTAAAACAGCAAACGCGTCCCCTGTACTTTTTTTGAATGTTACCTGTTGGTGGTTTTCATTAAGGTCGTATCGAACAAAGAAACGGTCGTACGAAATTCTCTTCGTTTGCCCGATTTCCGTGACACATACCTGCGATATAGGGATGACTTCTCACCGACACCCGTTTTGTCCAGCTCTACAAAAAAAGTGTTCTTTTATAATACTCAACAGGAGCGGCGCTCGCGGTAGGCACGGGGGGGGGGGGGGGGGGGGCATGGCGCTTTGGGATCGGAGGCTGCCCGGCCTCATTCCCCCCTTTCCATGCCTCCTAAGAGCAAACATAGTAAAAAAAAATGGATGGGTTGCCCACCTTCCTGCACCACGAACTCATATGCCTTGCCCCCCCCCCCCCACCCTTTCTATTAAAAAAATCCTGGCGCCACACTTGATGATCAAACACGTTTTCATTTTTAAAGGCCCATCGGCATGGACATCGGCAGCTTTATATATATATATATATATATATATATATATATATATATATATATATATATATATATATATATATACATATATATATATATATAAGGGGGTGCCAGCCAACGTTGTGCCTCGGCTTTGGGAGGGGTGGGAAGCTGATATAGCTTAAAGGGACACTGAAAGGGTTTTGCATTCGCGAACTTATTGTAAATCCGGTATCTTCCCCAACATGCCTACGAACGCTTTTTCCGCGACGTTATATTAACAACGGCGCTCTCAGCAAGCATACTTTGACCGAGGGAACGGCCCCTGGAGCGCAGGGGAGGAGCACGGGAGAGCGAGACACGTGGGGAGGTGACGTCACCTTCGGGATCGAGCTGGGCCGCAAGGGCCGTTCAGCCTATTGGCTTCGGTTTTGTGCCTCGTTTCTACTGCCTAGCAAAGCATCAGTTCTGCCAATTCGTAGGGATGTCTTGTTATTGCACCGTTCGTTTTTTTCTGTTTGAAGATTTTTGCCATTTGACATGCGCTAGTTGTGTTTGTGCGGGGTTGAAGTGGCCTCAAGATGCTGAACTACTGCGCGGCTTATGGCTGACGCAGCACTTTCACTAGCGACAAGCTCGCTTTTAAGTTTTCACAAGTTTCTTCCAGATCAGAAGATAGCTGCAAAATGGGTCATTGAAGTCAAAAGACTTCAAACTTACAAGAGACAGTGTGCTGTGCTCCAAGTACTTCCGTGACGGCCACTACGTATCAAGCCCCACTCTCATGCAGTCGCTAGGATTGACCAACGTCTCCTCTATTTTATCAATGCCAGCCGGATTCACCCGATCCAGCCGTTCACCAGTCTCTCCTCGAGCCATTTTCTGCTCTCTCCCATCGCCTATATCCTTCGCGTGTGCTTTGCGGTCACAGGGGAGAAAACCCTTCATGTATAGTATACCTCACGGACGTAAATCATATGAAGTCATTTCTTGTTCATTTGTATACAGATCCGTGGGGCGGCGTCTTGCATTACTCGTTCACAATATTTGGCGGTCACGCTGGCTCTGTAAAAGATGAGTTGTTTCGAGATAGCGTGGCGCCGTTCGTGGCACTATGCGGGCAACCAATGGGGAATCATCACTACAACGATACTGCATGCGCTGCACTGTGATGCGCTGGCGGCATTACTTCGAGCCACAAAGAAGGATCCCGAAAAAAAAAAACTAACAAATCTGACAGTCGTATGATATTGGAGTGGGAAACATGTCTATCGTATCTCCGGGCGAAATCACGTGGAAGCACGTGTGACGCAAGCAGCGCTACCTATAGTGTTACTGTAACTCTAGCGCTATCCATCATGTAGCGTCGCATCACGACCACTCCCTTAGCTATAAGGCGGACGACGGCTCCCTTTGAGAAGCGCTAGTTTGCACTGGCATTCAAAAAAATTATGGAGGCAGTGGATTTACGATCAGGTGTCTGCGATTGAACAGCGAAGCGGTTCCTTCTGTGTTTCCGCATCTGAGGAAGTCCTCGTCGCCCCCACAACTTGTCTTCGCGAAAAGAACTCGGGCAAGGCTGTAAGGCTACTTATGTTCAACAGCAGCGCGTAGTTAGCTGGCGAGCACGCACTAACCGCAGCTGTGCTCAGCTCACTGTGCTGCCTCACTTCCGGGACGCTCACTTCGAATCTCTACGTAAGCCCCACCGCGGTGGTCTATAATGGCTAAGGTACTCGGCTGCTGACCCGCAGGAAGCGGGATCAAATCCCGGCTGCGGCAGCTGCATTTCCGATAGAGGCGGAAATGTTGTAGGCCTGTGTGTTCAGATTTGGATGCGCGTTAAAGAACCCCAGGTGGTCTAAATTTCCGGAGCCCTCCACTACGGCGTCTCTCATAATCATATGGTGGTTTTGGAACGTTAAACCCCACATATCAATGTACGTAACGCGCGAATCGCGAGCCGTCACGCCTGCAGACACCGTTCATCGCGGTTTCGCTCGATCTGGGACCTATATAGTGAGCCGCGATCTTGCTGTTGCCGCAACGGCTTGCTATCGAAGCCTCTAAGAATATTTATCAGAGTCAGCCTTGATCGCCAACGAAAGTGACCGTGTAACAAGGGCGCTTCATTTCCATTTCAACTCGGGTCATATTTTTCGATATGAATCCAAAACCAGCTATGCTATACATACGCCACAATCACTCATACGATGATCTAAACATAAATCACTACCGCGACATTAATTCTCTGCCGAATGCCTCCAGATCGAGCAAAATCGTAGTCCAACATGCCCACGTAGCAGCGCTTGATCTAAGCATTTCTCGATTTCACTCATTGCTTGTGTGACAGATATGATAACAGTGAGTACTTCACAATGCGCATATTGTAAACCAACATACCACTGGTACCTAACGTGTTCATGCCCCTATAGCTTTCTCGTTCAGAAGCCTGCGGCCTGTACAACATTGTTCTGCAGCTTACAACCTACACCGTGCTGAATGGGGCTCGCCACGGCAGCAGTGCGCTGATTGATTTATGCAGACGTGCTACATATCAGTATATTAAAATGAAGGTTCAACACACTGCACAGAATGGGGGCAGCAAAATAATATCCCAGCATGGATGTTCAGGCACGTCTTGTTTTCTATGTATCTCCATCTTTCCCCATTTGAACGAAGTGCGTTTGCATGAGCACCTGCGGCGAAAACGCGCGTACACACTTGCACGCAGCGTCGAAATCGGTTAGTCTACCCAACAGTCACATGCTTCTAACGCATCCAATATGCAGCTTGCATTTTCACACACTATCACTGTAGTACTAGCCAGAATTTAGAAAAAAAAAAACGACGGTATAGTAAACAGAACTGCAACATATCAGCCAAGCTATCCATGTGCAAGCTTGCAGCGCAGTTCAGAGCACGTCATCATTGCGGCAAAGAACGGCACTTGCGTGGCCTTTTCTTTTTTTGTTCCCACGGTATCGCACTGAATCATCGCATGCTTCTTGCCCGCTGTGAAGTGCGATACCGAGTGAAGCAATAAAGCTGCACTCTGAGCAGTGAAATCCACAAACAGCTGCTGTTTCTGCACGATGCACGCGCGTGCCGATATGCGGCTAAAAACTATAGTGCCGATGCTGCTGTTCCTTATCGAATTTTATATCCACGCTTGAACGCAGCATTCATATTAGTTTAATTTATTAGAGTGAAATTAAGCAATGACATGCATCTTAAACGTACCAGTCTGCTTCCGACGCGGGAGAAGGGGGCTGGTTGGGACTCGCTTTCCTGTGCCGCATCATCGGTGCTGAGATCATCTTGTGTTGTCTCTCGTAGTGTCGATAGGGTCGAACATGTACGGTCCACTGCCAGTGCATGGCCGGTGTAAGGTCCCTAGATGAAACTTAGGCCGGTGGTCTCCAGTGCGCAAACTGCTGGCGAGATTTCGAAATGCGGCGCATGCGCATCGGTTTAACAAGGTGCTGCGTGCCACGCGTCGTCTGCTACTTATCTGCCTATGCACTCGTCTGGCGCTGGTGAGCCATGACCCTTCGCCCTTTAAGTTTTCGCACTGAAAATTAACTGATACCAGCTCGGCCTTCTAGTTCTTCAATAAGCCAATACTTCATGGCCGCAAAGGCGAACTCAGAATGTTCGCTGCATCAAACTTCAATAGATTTATCTTCTAATAAAGGCTAGCAGTTCATTGCAGCGAGCAGTATGTGAAAATTGAGCAGAACTGCGGACACAATTAAAGCCATAATTTTTTTATGCTTGCTGGAAATCCGACAAGCGGCAGGCAGAGTGACAGCTAGATGACAGCCGCTATTACGAATCTATGCGTATGCGCCACATTTACAAATCTCGCCGGCAGGTAGCGCCGCGCGGCTCACCGGCCACGAGTTCACGTGTTCCCTCTAACAGCGCACCCTACTGTACAGCCAAATCCTTGCGACTTCCATAGTTCCCTATACTAACAACAACTATCAGATTTGAACAGATAAACACGGTATCGCCTGCCGGCGAGTGCAGTCAGCTGACCTCGCCGTCCCGAACGTGATGTCAAGAAGCTTTGACCAATCACAGGAGACTGGCGATGCTCGTTGAGGCGCTTGTTGCCAGTTTTCGGCCAAGTAAAATGATTTGCGTTGGGTTACGCAAATTTTGGACTCGAGTTTCGAGTTGGCTATATGAAATTATGTATCATGGCACCATAACCTCGTTTTTATAAAAAACGAGAGTACCTCAGTGTCTCTCGGACACTGAAGTATACTAGAACGTGTCTCTGGGGAAAATTTTTAGTGTTGCTTGAGAGGGGGGGGGGGGGGGGGCAAGTGCCCCTTTTCATTTTCACCCCCTCCCCTGCCGACGCCCATGCCGTTCAGCGACCACAGTGAAGATCCCAACTCTACATACCACAGGCCTTCTAGAAGCAAGCTTTATACAAATTAATGTACATCAGTCTCAGAAGATTTTCAATTTTGATTTGTTATATATCGGCGCAGTAGAGCTGGGTTTTACTTATTTCAGGCTGCGGTTCAGCGGCTTCAACATCGTGCGTAATAATTGCACTGTCGGCCGGTACACCGCGCTCAGACATGGCACCCAGCGCCCAAATCCCAAACGGTAAGTAGTGAAGGAGTGGGATGCGCCTGCTTTTGCGTGTAAGAGCCAGCCTTAGTCACGAGAATCGCGGCTAAGGATCACTCGTAGTCTTGTGATTAAAAGCGATTCATCAGGGTGTTTGGAAAAAGTCCCGGATTCCTGCCCATCTTGAATGCGCGTTTCCATAAACAAGGCGTCAGGCATACTGGTATGGACTCAAAGTAGAATAGCTTCGCCATATAGATCCCCGGATTTACAAACAATTGCAATCGTGCAATAGTATACTGTGACGTGGACAAATCCGAGACGGGCTGGGCTAAATACCTTATGCATTGCTCTAAACTCTAAAACATATCACAAATTTCAAGCGAGGCAATTTCCTATTTATAGCTCGCCACAAGCTTACCACGACATTCTATCTGCAACTGCGATATGCGTTTGTTGCGGGATTCCGAATGACATCGTGCCTCAATTTTTTTCAAGCTTGCAAATTTCTACAATGTTTCATTTGAAATTCCACAAGATAAATAAACATTTCAATTCTAGTCACAAGAATCTGTCTACTCAGCATCTCATAAAAGGGTTTATGATGTAAATCTGCTTGAACAATGAAATCTGTGGGCCCCAAACAAATGCTTTTCCTTGAGGTTGAAAATGATAAGCACAACGTGGCCAACTTAAAAAAAAAATTGTTTAGAAAAAAGAAAAAAAAAACGTTGATTGAGTTAGCTTTAGCAAGATTCTTGCAGGCAAATCAAAATTTCTAATCTATAAATTTTCTGGGATGAGGGTTAAGTAATGTACACAGGTGTGTTGAGTAAGCCTTTCAGTTATCACTGTGTGAATGGAATAGCTGCAAGAGCACATTATATTGAAGTAGTTCCCCCTTAAGAAGCTCTATATTAAATAATGAGTATCCAAGCCTCTCTTTATATGTTTCCTGCCACGAAGAAACAATCAGTGTCGACTTGGGGAGGGGAGGGGTGTCCTGGAAAAATGCAGAGAGCACAGAACTGCCACCATGCGTTTACTGAAATGGAAGCACACTTTTTAAGACAAATTCACAATGGCAACTGGCAGAAAAGTTTGCCTCTATTATGTGACTGACTAAAACTGCTGCTTGGTGAGTTGGTTGATGATTATTTAGACAGATTGATCAGTGCAAAAAAAAGGCGGAACTTTTTGAGAAGAAACACACAGCGCTGTGTGTTTCTTCCCAAAAAACAGCGTTGTGCGAGTGTTTCTTCTCCAAAAGTTCCGTATTTTTTTGCGCTGATAAATCAGTCTAAATATGCGAGTGACATTGAATTTGCTTCCATGTGAATGTTTTAATTAATTTATCAAAATATCTGATCTGCAAGCAAATGTTTCATAAACTGCAAATACGTGTGACCACCATACCTAGAAGTCTATTTCAGCTGCAAGATTACAGAACTTCAGTGCATCTCCCAATGTGCGTGCCTTGTAAATCAAACTTAAGGAAAATGCATCATGATCATGCTAGCTACAAAATCAGCTAAAGCAAGACATTGTTCCAATGCAAAACTGGACAGCAGTACGATGCATACCTAAACTAGTTGACCTCATAATTTCCTTTATTACTTATCAACAAATCAGTGTTCAAGCATTAACCATTGCTGTTGTACTGTTTGATGGTGTACTACTTACTTATATTGAAACTTTTCCTCTTTTTTTTCTCATTTTCCAGAATGAGACTGATCAGACGGTCCTTCTTTCGCATATACAAGGATGGCCTGAACACACTCAAGTACAGGGTGCTTGACATCGTCTTCAAAAAGCTATTTACCTACATCAAGGTTGACTTGTTTCAGAAAGTACTCACCAAGCCAACCGAATGATTGCGATTTTTACTGGTGCTGCGAGTGCAACTATTATACAAAAATTTGTGAATTGGTGCACATTGCACAACACTTATGCGGCAATAACTTTTGTAACCCTTGTTACTTACTATTATTATTAAACTAACATTTTTATCGAGAATGTTATACATTGTCACCTAGTAACTAAGTGAAGAATGGATCGATCGCCTCGCACAGACATGACCGACAGCACTTTTCAGCATATGCATAATAAAATAGTTTGTCTTACTAGTGTGCTATAGCAGTAACATAGTCTCTCGCACACAGTAAAATGGAAATACAAGAACCAAGACGGACCAAACACTAGGGACTTGTCACTAGCACTCAAGAACCGTGTTAGCTACTTTTGCAACAAACTAATACTACTCTAACAAAAGCACCTGGGAGAACAAGCCAGTGCTGTAGAGTGTTTACCCAGGATATTTTTTGCTCTAGAGCAATAGTTAGCGTCGCCATTATTAAAAAAAATTGTTTTCTTGATTTCAAAACACTTCCAATGCAGTAGAAATCTGGGTTCTTACTGCCACTTGCAAAGAAAGCATATATCGAATTGAAAGTAGATTTGAACAAAATCCGCCAACAAACCTTCAAATGACGAGACCCATTCCACTTGAGTGACAAAATACAAGAAGAGCCTTTATTTCTTTGCCTCAAATAATGCTAAAATTTCGTACAGCAACAATAACACAGTTATTGTCATCATATGTAACAATAACACAGTTGTTACATAGAATGACATAGTCATTTTATGTAACAACATAGGATGACTATCAAGAGAATGCTACTACATTTCACGTTACTACGCACAGCTGGTCCCTTCCCATGACTTGGCAGCATGATAATAAGATGTGTAAAAAAACTAATGCAACCCTTTTAAGCATCACAAAAGGAGTGTCCATTGAAATTACAGCTGTAACACATTTGCTGCACTTTCAGTGATTAAGAACATGCATAAGCAGCAGACATTTGAAATGTTTTCCAGTGTTTTTTGAGTAGAACACAAGTATGGCATACCCAAACAAACTCTCCAACTATTGGAATGCGCACAGATTGTGAGTGGGAAAAGTATGGGCAGTTTTAAGGCGAAAACGTTAAAGAACTCGTTTCGCAGAAATTCCGGCATCGACGTCGATGAGGGCATTGTAGGTTAAGAGTGAAAAATTACCATCTTGTGCGTGACCGAAAAATAGAGAAAGATCAAATAAAAAAAATTAATAAAAAATTCTGGATCTGAGTCAGAATAGAAGTCGGGTCGTTAGCGTGGCAAGCGGGTGTTCCATCTCACAGCCACACATCTACTACTGAATACAGTGAAAATAACTTCCTCTGCTTGGAAACGCAGTGAAAGTAACTTTAATGCTTTACAAACACACACGTCCTTCACAATATAATATGAAATATTGCAGTAATATTGCGTGGTATAAGCGTACATTGTCATCTGGAATCAGAACATGTAATTACCATAATGACTTCATGGTTTATAGCCAGTCACCCACTACAAGGTGCACACACATTACTGCACCTATTCCCTTATGGCCTTAAGGTGCATAGCAAGTTCGAAAATATTTCGGGCAGTAAGTGCTTGAAGTACACACTAGAGACAGGATATCACTGTTGCGTTCAACTGTTAAAGGAGAAGCTTAAAAGTACCCCAATTTTTGATGTTGAAACCAATGCTGAAAACTCGGCTAATGGCTGTTGTGATGTGGCTTCAGACCCCTAACTTGATCGTTACATTGAATACTTTTCTATACGTTGCCTGTTTTTCTTTAATACTCAATGTAGTGTTCGGGCAGCAGCTTCAACAGGACAGTATACTGGTACAAGTATAGTTCTTGTTTCTAGCGCTGTGGAACCTTGGTCTCATAGATAAGCAGCATTGTAATAGGAGCAATCGTCAAGAAGCAGCAGTGGGTAAGTGCAACGCACTCAGACCTGATAATGATATTGATGAAAGCAAAGGTGGGTCTCCATATTGTAAGCAATACAGAGTCATATAGTACACAGACTCAAAGGCCATCATGATTACATTACATGTACAGACAGTGTCAATGTCAGGTTGCAAAAAAAAAAAATGCCCCTGGTAATCTTGTTAAAGCTAGGCGGCATCGGGCAAAAAAAATTTATACAGATGGCATTGGTGTGACAAATATATTTTGCATTGTTGAAGCGATACATTTTCAATCTACTTTGCCATATTTTTCAGTAATATTGAGGTTCAACGTATATCAACAAGCCACCGAAGTTGTCCACCAAAGCGTGGGTGTGGAACAGCTCTGACTAACGGAACAAGGGGGGCTTTCCTGAATGCAAATCTAGAACCAATGATGCAGTTAAATCATGTTACAAAGTGTAAAGTGGCATGTTATGTAGAAACGAAAAAACATGGCTGAAGGCTCTGAATGATTTTGTCCCCAAAGAGTGATGCTCGAGCACTGTACCACATGTGCTGCAAAATGGCCAAGATCTCCCTACAAAATTCTGACACAGCAAGCTGAAATACGCCAATTGATAATAGTTTGTACAGACAGAGAGGCACTTCAATGAAGGGCTCTGGATTGTATACGAGCATCTGAAACTACTTGAATGTTGACATAAGGTTTGCTGTGCAGACATTTGTGCACACCGAACCTATAAAGAATGGGTCACCATGTCTGCAAAACATACCTCTCACTAGAAAGGAAGCGGCTGCAGCTTTGCTACACACACAATACAAATGGAAGTTAAGTTGTTGAAAGGACAGGTGTGAATGGATGGATGGAAATACAATGTGACATGCAGGTTGCCTTCACAGAGCTACTAAGTGCCTCAGACATGCCAGCCAAGGTTTCGAAAGCTGAACCTGTCTTTGTCAAATGTGCATTAATAATATGTAGCGGTTCATGCCTTAAAACCATGATATGATTACAAGTGACGGTGCAGTGGACGACTCCAAAAATTTTGACCATCTGGTGTTATTTAACCCACACTGACATAGCACAGTGCACAGGCTTGTACCATTTCGCCTCCACCGAAATGCGACCACTGCAGTTGGGATTGAACCAGCTACCTCCGGGTCAGCAGCCAAGCACTCTAGCCACTGATCCGCCGAGGCAGAGTTGCCAAAGGTGCATTGTGAACTGTCGCGAGTGATTTGAAATGGTTAGTCAGTGATGTGACGTCACATCGTGCTACTATCACAGTCTTCTTCATGTGCAAGGAAGAAGCTGGAGAAGGAATTAGCATGGCCATTTTATCCCTGTGAGGACTGTAGTTGGTGAATAAGGGTCTTAAAAATTAAAAAAAAATCTGCAGATCCCACGTACCTGGGAATCGACGTTATGCGAACCATGCGGAGAGAAGGTGACTGTGTCGCAATTTTTTTTATTGAGCGAGACGTCATGAAATGACGCGAAATATATGTACAAATGTTGCACGCACAGTCATATGTTGAAGAGTTGCAGATGTTTATATAAGCAGTTGTTTGCAGTTGCGCAACGATGCCAACTTGAACATGCGTATTAGCAACACCAGAAGCTGATATGAAACGCTATGTTCGTGAGGATGCTGGCCCTGAACACCGATATATAAATCAACTTCAGCGCATGACAACTAGACACAATTGACTTTAACCCAATGTGACAGCTGCATCAAAGGAGTACATATGTAATGTTTATAAAATTGGGCAGGCAGCACTGCAACCACTAGTGACGTTTCACGAAGATTAGAGTCTATTTGAAAAAGGGTTCCGAGACCTGGTGAGCTCTGCGGTACAATGCTTCGTTGCCACGCTTGGGTTCGATTCCACCTGGCACTCTGACATTTATTCTTTGCATTCGTCGGGTCTACGCTACCAATGTCGAGTATTTTTAACACTCGCACGTTAAAATTGCCCATGTATGTTCTTATCCATCGTTCCTGGGTGTCAATCACCTGCAATTGATTGACTAAGTGTCCATCACCTGTGGCACATACCCACATACCAGCGGCACGTACCCACCTATGGGTATTTGGCACTGTCTGGTGGGAAGTGTTTGACGACGTATTTGGCGGGATTGTGACATTATTCATGTCTTGACCAACGCGTCATATTTGTCGAACAATCTTACCCTCCCAAGCTAATTTTCGTTCACCCCAAGTTAAGGGGGTGGTCACGAGAGCACTCAAATGTAAGCGGCTAGATAGATAGATTGATACGCTCAAAGTTGCCGAAGTTCGCTAAGAAATGCTTCGCATTCAAAAAGAGAGAGAGATAAAAAAACAAGGCTGAGAGGTGACAGCAGTCTTAGAACTTAAATGATCACAAAGATATGGGACAAAAAAAAAAGGAATGTTAAGAGGGGAAATGATTGGGAGGAGGGTGTAGCCTTGCTCTGGGAAAATCAGTGTTGACCGCCTCCTGAAAAGTCTGGGAGTTGGAAGGTATGTGTACGACTTCAGAAACACTCTGCCAAGCACTACTGCGGCTTCAAGCCTGCCATTGCACGGAAAATCCTCTATGGCTTATGACATGTTCAGATGGTCACTTGAGAGTGCTCAGCCTGTGTTTAAAAGTGGCAAACTAAACAGCTTCAATGCTGTACAGTGAGAACAACCCAGTATGCAAGTCGTTTTTGTCGTTCTTTTTCATGCGATAGCCCTAATATTTTTAGCAGTGATGCTTAGTTCCTGTTTGAACGTGACAGCGTTGTAAATAAAAGTCTCCTTTAACTACCTCGACAGAATCGAGCCCTTGTGTGGGATATGGCGTGGAGCAGCCTTGGAAGGACTCAATTATGTCGAGGTAGTTAAAAGAGACTTTTATTTACACGCATGAAACCATTGAGACCCTGCTACTACTCTCATGACTCCGTTTCACCTCTCTTGCTTGCTGGCGCTTCTTCTTGCTCATCTGATGGTTTGCCAGCGCTCCCGATGGATTCAACATTCCCGGCTGTGCAGTGAAGTTGGTTTCACAGTTCCAGATGCCAGTACTTTCGGGCAGGCCTCATTAGGATAACGCCCCCATGTCGTTCCACGGTGCAAGAACAGCCGTTACAACCCGATTTCTTAGTTGAATGTTCTCTGCTAGTTTATGTGGTTGCCGGCTTGTTTTGTCCTGGTGAGCAGTCTGCTTTTCAAACTGGCTCACTTCATGAAGCTTCTCCTTCCATTTGACATGCCTCTATTGTAGCCAACTCTCTAAAGTATGCCATTAGATCCAGAGGTCTCTCATTCAACTGTTGTGATTCTACCGCCTCCAGTCCCTTTCGCCAAAATAGTCTTGGAAGGTCTTTCTGTCCAGGTTGCCATTGTAGTGAGGGAGTTCTGTCGCCTTGTCAC